TTTTATCTTTCTGGAATTTGCCATTTTCTTACTTGTTCCAAAGCAGTCAGCTCACTTGCAGTGATACTGAAAAGGTGCTTTTTTTACCCTGGAATCAGCAAGTAGTTGGTGTGGCAGACTCCACCACAACAGCATTAAGCTGTTAAAAAAAAAAAATGTACGTAACCCACCTGCTGGCACCTCTAAGTACCTTCATATCCGTTTTTTCCTATTCCATATCTTAGGTGCCCCAAATACCAGGGTTCTCTAGCCAGCTTACCTGGTTGAGAGCCTGGCCACAACCCTCCCACCTTCTAAGTCTCACTATTCTCTTATCACTGTTAAAGAAGAATTTTGGGCATGTACAAAGGGCTACCCCCACACTGCAAGGGTTAGGTGCTCGTTTTGGTCTAGGATTAAAAAAATAAATAAAATAAAAGATATGCTAACTCGATCTTTGGTCTCACCTGGCTGCTAGACTGGCCTCCGCAGCATCTTCTTCCCTAGGCTCCGGCGGTCTAAGGACCCGTGATGACACCATGTTCATTCACTTGCACTGGATGTGAAGATGCCTAGGGAGACCCCAGCAGGACTGATGATTGGGTGAATATGTATAATATAAACAAGCACTTAACCCTTGTAGTGCAGGAGTAACCCCACTGCAAGGGTTAATTTTGTACATGTCCAGAGTTCCTCTTTAAGTGGAACTGCATCAGCAAATAGTAAGGCTTAAGAATTGGAAGGGGGGCAGGATCTGAATCTCAACCAGGTAAGCTGGGTTGAAATCTGCATACCAGAGCACCCCAGGACTCCCAGAGTGTTAACAAAAAAACTGACCTGACATGAAGCCTGCTGGAAGTGTCTGCTGTGATGTGCTTGCAATGGTTCAAGTACTTTTCTTTTTTTTTTTACTTCAAAAAAGTAACTATAGTATTTTTGAAAACTTAAGACTGGCAGACACTTCACATCCTATATGCCAGGTCCAACAGCAATGAAAACTTTTTATTTCACCATGGGTGGTGCAGATAGATTACACATATTATGTGAACAGATCTTGGTCGTACTTCATATTATTTGGGACCACTCAGCATGCCTTGGCTTGCTCTATGGGTCCTATTCTGATTTACTCACATAGTTCTGAGGTGTTGGAAGTGAATTGGTTTACAAGCGTATTAGGAATCAAAGAGATCAGTCGGGGGAAATGTGGATCATCTCAATATTAAAATTCAAATAGTGTGATGTGCAACCCAGTGCTTGGAGGGAGAACGGTAGATGATTTTTTTTACATTTAAAACCTAAAATGCATTTTTTCCTGCACCTCCTCCCATATACCAATTCACATCCAGCATAGATCATACTCGTCTACAACACTGCTCTTTGGGACACAGCAAAGGCTGTGTGGTGCCATAGGCTGCACAATAAAGATGGGATGTTGTTGCTAAATATGATCTATAATGAAATGCTGGAAGATGAGAGGAATGCACTATGACCACTCTTCTTTTCCTGCACTAATTTCATAACACACGTGTGTCTTCACCCAGTACAGACGTCTGCTTAGAAATCTACAAAATTAAACTGCATCCAAAGCCAAAACATGTTATATTTTATTTTAGATAAGACTATGAAATGATCAAAACCCATCACATTTTTTGGTGTCTGTGTCCCATTGGGAAGGAGATGTTCCTTCACTCCCTGTCCTGGAGATGCAACAAAAGTAAGAGGAAATCACTGGCACATGTGCCCCCATTGGAAGATATCTTAATCGCCTCCCGTTCCAGTGACAACTCAAAATTTCCTATCACTTTGCCACATAAACTTTAATGCACAAATGTTAGCAGTCATTTTATTGTTCTTTGATCTAAGGAAAATTAATACAGATACAACTTACATGACATCAGGGCTATTAGCAGTTGTCACCAGCACATAGAGATTGAACATAGCTTCAAGGTAGTTTTCAAAGTAAGCTTCTCCATCAGCTGTCTTGAGCTTTCTGTAAAATGAATTTTTTTTTTATGTTTTGAAAGAAGCACCACACAGCATAACTAACTAATACATGGCTGCAATAAAAATTAAAAGCAAAAACACAAAAAAGGGATTTTGTACTCACCATAAAATCACACATAGAAATTGAAAAGGCAACCCCCAAGAGGCTATAACCCCTATCCACCTACTCAGCTGTAGCCAGCAGCCCAAGGTGGAAAGGAAAGCATATGAAGGGATGGAGCTGTTTCCCTTACTGGACTGAGAAAAGGAGGAGGATAAGGACAAAAATCATATTTTCCTCTATTATCCATTAAGGGACACAGCTTTATTAAGCAACCAAGGTATGTCCAGATGTAGTTGAAAGTGAGGGGCTGGCACACCAAAAACACACAGAGCAACTAGTCCAACAAGGGGAAATCCCCAAAAATGGAAAACAAGGCCATTAAATAGCCACTTGCAGAACTTTTTGGCTAAAACTAGCATCCGCAGAAGTAGATATGTTGGCCTTTGAAAATGTGTGAACAGGAGGCACTTGGGGTTAACTGAAAAACGAATGGGAAGACACTGCTGATGGTATACGGAATGAACTGAGAAAACCTGCTCTTCTTGAATGATTCGAGACAATTCCAAGAATAGCCAACCACACAGTCTTCAGAGACTAGATTAACTATACGGTGTGAGGCGTTATATCCTCTAGGAAGTCTGTGCTTCAGTTTCTCTGTGCCAAGTGCCCATCTCACCTGTAGGCAATAGTATAACGCTTGGTTGCTTAAAAAAAAAGCAAAAGCCGTGTACCTCAATGGACAGTAGAGAAACATTCTTTGCCTCTTAAAAGAAACACCCATGACTTTCAAGCAGCCTGGTAATAATGTAAGGGGAACCAGTGACATTATCTAAAATGTGTGATCAGTACCCTTTACATTTTATAAAGAAATGTTGATTCAGTCAGGAGGTTCAGTTATACTGTGGCTGGCCATATTTGACAAGCCGCGACAGATCTGCCATTCCTCATTACCCTTTCCTGTGGACAGAAGCGATTGACCACCATGTTTACCAATATGTTGGAACATCTCTATTGAAACAGCATGCACCAACACAAATTATCACTTGTGACTGATTATTCCAACTACGTCATGGTGTCCCTTTTTTGTTTGCTGTGTGATTTTAAACTTCTAATAAACTTGATAAATCCAAGAATCCCATTGTGATGGACTGTTTACTACAGAATTTCAAAGCCTCACAGTCAGAGAAGACTGGATCTTTGATGGGGTGTCATTTGGGAGATTAGTGTTGTCCTCCATGTGGCAAGAAATAGAGGTGCTTGCTGACTGGGAGGAACATAAGCTAAAAGAATGGTATACTGTATATACTTGCCAAAAAGATGTCTTTTTTCAGACAAGTTTGTAATAAGACTATTGTAAGGAACAGAGATAAAACTGGTGCAATACACAAGCTGTGGTATATTCTATATCACTACTCTGAGAACCATGAGGCCAGGGAACCTGATCTTAAACGTTTCTTGCCTTAATCACTGTTTTTATAATAATAAAACAGAGAGAAAGATGAAATTGTATTTTTAAAATACTAAACCACACAAGGACAGAATAGAATAAGGATTTTTGTTTGAGTTATGTATAGACCTAGTGCTCCAGGGTAATTTTTGTCCCTTAGAGCCCTGTAGCCATTTCATATGTTGTTCTTCAGATAACTGATTGCAATCTGATGACAAGAGGGGAAATCTACAATTTCCAATAAGGACTGAATCCGGAATACTAATACTATTAACAGTGGTTCGAGCACAGCATACAATTAGCGAGAGCATGGAAAAAATGGAAGACTGAGGCAAATTAAAAACGGTCATGAGACTTTGTTTACCTGTTCCCAAAAAGTTTTAGAGCCATGAGAGAGAAAATGAGGACACTGAACATGAAGAGAAGGAAGACGTATAGGATCTCGGGTAAAGTGTTTCTAATGCTGCGGAATGCTCTGCGAATCTGCAATACATATATAAAATGCACACAAAATGATTATTTCTCAGATCTCCAAGAAAAAAAAATATATATTTTTGCCCGCGATACACTTTGAGTAGCCTTTACTTTTACCAATGAATGATCCGCTTTTTCTCTAAGACATAATATCATTTTACAAGTAGTTCATATCAAGAACACAATCCAAAGAATTAAGAATTTGTGCTTGTAATGATGAATTATTGACTAAAAAAGAACCACTAAGTCACCAGTGTGATATGTAGTAGATACAGCTGTGCTCACAGCCCTGATAGAATTAGCAAAATGTTAGCCATTTTAGCTACACCAACAATACAAAACGGCCTACTTACGATATGCCAAACAGCACCTAGAGACGCCCCAAACCTTCTTAAAGAAAATCATTTGGAGATCGAATTTAACTTTTTGGTTACAACCATAAACGGTATGTTTGAAGAAGAGCCACCAAGGCCTATGAGAACTACACCTTCTTTGTCATGAAACATGGAGTTGGATCTCTGCTGATTTGCAGGGAGTGGCTTACAGTGGCACAGGGAACATGGCAAGATGAATGCTGCATATTATCAGAAAGAATTGAAGGAAAATTTGCATTCATCAGCTTTAAAGCTGCCCATGGGGCTAACTCCCACTTTCCAACCTGACAATGATCCTATGGATAAGGCCATGTTGACCCTACAGCGGCTGCAGCAGAAAAAAGGTTTTGGAGTAGCCATCCCAATCTCCTGACCTCAACATCACTGAGCCAATATGGGGAGATCTCAAACATGCAATTCATGCGAGACAACTAAACAATTTATAGCTGCTGGGAGTTTGTTTACCTGTGTAAAGTCAACTGTCCGCTTTGCTGTCCGCTTTGCACTGGAAGCAATTTGGGCAGCTGTAAAGCTGTCTGATTGCTTGCAGGGGCTGGTAAATGTGTGCACCCCCGCATGACACCCCCTACCCTGCTTCCCAGGCTTCACTGTCCCTCCGGCATCATTGTCATTGGGAAGAGACGAGACCAGCGAACATTTGTTTGCTGTGCTTTAATAGCTTCAATGGGCTGCAAAGGTGACATAAGGAGTCGCCTATTGTCTCCTTTAAGAGCACTTGTCATCACTAGATTGCAATTACATAGGGGGCTTGCGAGTAAAAATAAATAAATAAAAAAAAAGGTTAAAAAAATAAACTTAAATTAAAAAAAAAAATGTAAAAAAAACACCCCAATTTTTTTGTTGTAGTAACACAACAATTGCACCACATATGTTAGGTATTGTAGTGTACACCAGAGTGAAAGCAATAATTCTATGATCATAATTCATAGTTAACTCTAAACTGATGTACAGGCTTTTAAAGCGTCACCAACTTAGGGTACCATAGTTTTTTGCCGTTTCACTGGAGCACGCAATTTTAAGTTTGGCATGTTTGGTATCTATTTACTTGGCACAACCTCCTCTTTTATATTTTACAAAACAATTGGGTATTGTGTTTTTGTGCACTTAAGTGTTTTTCTACTGCAATTTTGGGTTTAATAAACAGTTGCACTACTGTCATGTGATGTAAAAGGTTTAGGTAATTCTCAGAGCCATAAAATATGGAATCTAACATGTCTGCAAAAACAGCTCTGGCAGCAAAAGGATAACAATGAAAGAAAAATGAAGCAGAAACACAAGATGAATATCAGAGCAATAACTTACCTGCCGACTTTCAGCAAAATTAACCAAATAAATGGGACGTAGTACTCTTGACCATCGAATGCTGTGAATGTGAGCCATGCTCAAACATCCATAGATAATAAGATCAATTAAATTGAGCTGTAGAAATAAAATAAAATATAGTGTGTTGACTTTGTTCAGGAACTGGCCACGCCATTGTCATAATATAGCAAATAATATAATTAAAAAATAAATTTAAGTAAATCAAAAAAAATAATAATGATCATGATTTTACATATCAAAGTTTATTAAAGTCAAAACTCTTTTATGATTCCTGTCTAAGAGAAGCAACAGGAATGAAGAAGAAATCTCTGCAAATGAACGGATTTCCCATATTAGAAAGTTGTGATTTTTTTATTTCCCCTCACTTTCTATCTCAGTGATAATGGCCACAACAATACATCTCCCTAGCAGGGACACAGGCACAATAATAGCTTGAAAAGGGGTCTAATCGTTCCCCACCATCTAAAACGGAACAAAATGCCTTTACATTTATGTTACTATAGCACTTCTACATTCTATTCTACATACTGATAGCACACTCAGGACAGGTCAGGGGCGGACAGGCTGAGAGTATAAATAAGGAAGGATAAACCTACACTCTTACAGGGATGTGTATCAGCAGAGCACACCTAGCAGTAAATAATAAACCTGATCATACTATCACATCTGCAGATGCACTGCATAGGCTGGAACTAGCTACGATAGTTGAGGAAATTCTGATGGTTGATTTACTAAACAAGTATTGCTGTAAACGTCTTTTGCTGGCCAAAGGCAAAGAGACAGGTCAGCAATCAGGAGCCAAGTGGAAATGAAAGCATTGGAAACCAACAGAAATAACCAACATAAGCTTATCTATTGCCACACAATGCGGAACATAGGAGACATTGGCCAAACACCTGTACATACCAAGGTTACAGGTTGTCATTCCTTATGCTGAGCACCTTGTTTTATTTCTGCGATCGTGTGCCTGACATGTCAGCTGGCTGCGGGCCTCATAGTACCGGCTCGCGGGCCGGAGTTGGTCCGTGGACCGGTACTTGGTGACCCAAATTTCACTTTATTTTAAACTCGCCAAATGCGAGCAGGCGAGTGGAAATTTTGAGCCCTGCATTAACGTAAAGGTGATAAAATTCAGTGGGGTGAAGTGGTGGACTTTTTGTGACCTGTCACTGACCCAAAGAACCTTGACCAGACACTTACCTTACCACACCCACAAACAAAAAACTAAAGTGGGGTCATTATGCCTGGAGAAATTACCTACCAGTATTGTGACCATTACACAGATATTCTTCGTGTCTTTCCAAAACACACTGCGAGGAGTGACTTTACTAAAATGTACAAGGCGAACTAGGAAAGCCATTAGGCAGAAAACTTCAACAATGGAAGTAGCCTGTAAAAAAAAAAAAAAAAAAAGATTTAGATAGATGGATAGATAGATTTTATGGGGTTGTTTTTGTTTTGGATAGAGAGGAAAAGGGTTAGACCCTCTAACAAGGTTTTACTGATGTCTGTGTCCCCATTTGGGAGATTCATCCTCTCTGTTTGGACTGATGACAATTCTAACTGATAAAAAGAGTGGAAGGAAAATCCAATATTTTAGAGTTGCCCTACAACAAGAGGTGGGGGAAATCTTCAAATGGGGACTCCTGTTCTGGGGACAAATATCTAGCAGGCGAATTCCACTGACTATGAGAGATTTCTTCTAACTTCTTCTTGTGTCTCTGAGACAAGAAGTCCAGGGAAATGTCCCAAAACTGGGAGTGGTCTTAACCATTCTCGACTCTATATTTTTGTCACATTGCAATCAGACTGTTAATAGTATTTTCACTTCATAGTGATCACAAGCTGTCTTAAGGTTTCAAATGTTAGACAGCATTTGATGATTTTCCGGACATTTATCATATCAGTTTGTAGAAGATGACGGTTGGCCATCATTTCTATGGTATGGAGCTGAAATACTAATAATTATATTATTACGGTTCCTTATCAAACGTATGGACTGGTTATAAATCCTTGCATGCATCACAGACACAATGTTAGTCAACATCGAAACTCCTAGCTCACAGATTTCTGGGGAAAGGGCAAGGTTTGGATATTTTGGCTGCACATTGCTACTCCCATCCAGAGATATAAAAAAGTGCTGGTGATGCCAGCTACTTGCCTCCACTTGCACAAGATGCACACTGTACTAATCTAAGCATATGTGTTTATTTGATTGTGTTCTGGGGCATCTCCAGCCACCCTATATGGTCTATGGAGAGATTTATGCCGGGTTCAGCAATCAAGTCTTACCAGGAATGGAATAGGATAAACAGCAGGCTCCTCAAAAATTGCCAGAGCTAGGTCAATAGTGATACAGATATAGGTTGCTAGCTGCATAGCCCAGTGGTTATAGAAATAGTAAAGTCTAAAAGACAAAAACGTACATCATAGTGACAACACAGTATTCAATGCAGATAAACACCAATTTAACATATTTGCCAATGCGCAGTATATTTAAATTTTTATATATTAGATTTTTTTCTGTGTAGCCCACAGGCTAGTCTAACAGAATTCTCCATTCATGCTAAACAGTGTGCATGGAGGAATCTCAAGCTGCGACTATTGTATTTCGACCCTATCAGCTGTCATAATACTTAAACAGTGCCTTCATCTCATTGGATGCCGGTACTGTTAAACCGAAAAATTTCCTGCCAGGCTCCTTCCATTTTCTTTGCCAGTATAGCCAAAAAATGTTGTCCAAGAGTGTTCGCCAGTAGACGCGGCCCCTCAATGAGTGAATTTTGGTCCATTCATCATATGCTTTTTTGCTCCTCCAGTAAACTCTGGACTTCCCAACATGATAGGTGATAATAGTTCCAACAGTATCTTTTTTTGGAATTGCATTGGAATTGCAAAAGTAAACTGTAATAGTTTGTGCTAAATTTACATTTGTTTAAAGTTTAACTGAGGTTTTATATTTTGTTGTACTTTTTAAATATGGTTTCAGTTTTATGGGTTTTCTAAAGAGAGAACCGCAGAATCTGTATACCTTCAGGCTCTCTTACTCTTCCTGAAACTCTGTATGCTCCTATAAACACAGTAAGCAGGGAGGGGAAGGAGTCACTTATTTGTTTAAATTTCAGCTTCGTCAATTGAGTGCTTAATAATAAAAAATTAAAAACAAGGCTTTTTACAAGAGCAGACAGGTAAACATGAAAATTGAGAAGCTCAACTTGCTAGCAAGAAATCTAAAAATTGAATATTCATATTCGATTTTTCATATTTATCTGACTAAAGAAAGCATATCTTTTAAATGTTATAGTTCTGAACATGGAGAAAATATACAGTTTACAGAACAAACACTCCCATGAAAACTAACATAGAAAACCCACAAAATATCTCTTAACTGCTCCAGAGGATCAATAAGCTTCATCACTTAAATATACACTTAAAAAAGGAGCAAATTAAATTTGGCAACCATATAATATTTGAGATCAATGATAACAAAGCAGAACTGTTTTTAAAACATCTAACAACAGCTGTGCACTCTTCAGGAATGTAGATGATCTAAGTGAGGGTCAGGCACAAACTATTTTGTAACTGTTTAATACCATTATCATCATTTCAAAATACATCCATTTAGATAAATAAACCACTTCAAAATAAAAAGGGTAGAAGAATCTGGAAAATCCAAGTATTTTCCCAAGATGTAGCTTGCTGGGCAGCCATCTGAATATTACCCTTGGTCACGCATGTCAGACTGCTGTGTTTTGGACAACACCAAGTTGAGAATTTAAACTTGAGAGATTTAGATTTCTCTCCTTGTCACTAGATTGGACAGAAGATTTTTTGATTTTGGGGTATTATATGCAGTTTCTACTATGTATACAAGGATGTAATGGGTCTCATGGCATTTAGAGTATAGATGAGGGAAGGAAAGTGGATGGATAGCACCCAAATGGTGGTTGGGGATAAAGGAAAATTGACAAGTTGTGTTCTTTTACTGCTACTCAGTTTGCTCAATGGACTGTCAGTCCATTTCTATAAAATGATAAAAACTGATTTTCTTTTTGTAATTAAAATATACTCACCTTACTGATTGAGGTGACGTTTCAAAGGGAATGTTTCTGTTGTACTGAGCATCGTAAACATATGCCGCAGCCAGGAGAAGACGCTAAACAGAGAAAAAGACAATAATTATGGCTCATTAATGCAATGCAAACAGCAAAAATGATGTGCAAAATATCTTAAATTAGAACTATGGCCTCCAATTAAAAAAACAGTTTGGTTACCTAGTAACTCAATTTCCATTAATCTTTAGAGACATCACGAGAGAGAGAGAGAGTGTGTGGATCTGGCCACCTAAAAATGGTAACACAAGGCACGCACAATAAAACAGACACGCTCAGACTCACTGCTTAGTAATATTAAAGAACCAAAAGGCAAACAGTAGAACATACTATGAATAAGGTTCATGGGCATTGAGTTAGCAGGTAACTGTTTTCTCTGATCATCTTCTAAGACAGAACATGAGAGGATCAGCCAGAACTAGTCTACCTGGCAGGGCTACTGCTGGTAGGACCTTCTTGCCAAAGGCTACAGCTGACCATACATGGAGAATTTTGTTCAGTGGGTAGCCCTGTTGGCACCCATCTGTCTGGCATCCTTCAAACAGAAAATTAAAAGCCAGGTGGAAATTTTTTGGTTGAACAGTGATGGCAGCCCATCAGCTGCCATCACTGTCATATATGGCTACAAGCATGCACTGCAAACACAAAAGACAGGAATGAGACCTCCATGGTAGGAAAAATGACATTAATACAGTAAGATATGACGACAACTAGTGAGTTACTTTGAGAAAGATGATTTTTTTTTTTCCATATGGTAGGGTTACCAGAACGGTGTTCTAGAACCTAACCCTACCTACGGGAAGTGCATCTGGTTATGCTTGAATTTTAGGGGACTTGGCTCAAGGTTTTGCTCCTCTGCTGGATGAAACCTCAACAGCCAGATCCCCTGAGCCATCTATTCCATGGACATGTTCAATGACAAATAAAACCTGAATATAATCAAAAAGGACACCTACAAAATAAAATACCCTTATGCCCTGTGTGTATATACATGAAGTCAAAGTATACTGTAGAATGCATGAGGCCATTGTGAAGTGCATTCACACAATTAAAAAAATCATGCAGCAACATCTGCAATGAGGTCTGTGTCCCAAACTCGATCATTACAAATATCACATACACAGACTAATAGATTGTGAATTTCCTACGGGATCATAAAGATAACCCTGTCAGGCCTCAGCAGTGAAGGGTCTTTACTCAGAGCTATCTATTTCATGTATACATTTATGACTGAACAATACAACACGAATATAATCAAAATAATACATGAACTGACTCCAATTTCACATATGTAAATTCATACATTAAGACAAAATGTACCGCAGAATGCATGAAGTCAATGTTTATGTGTATTCACAGGGGTGTGGAAATTTAAAAAAACCTACTGTACTTGTCCAAGAGCTAAAGCGGGGGCCGACTCTACTCGTCCCAATAAAAAAAAATAGTTTTAATCAAAACTAGGGATGCACCAATGCCGGTTTTTCAGTATCGGATACGCGTACCGATATCTTGCTTTCGGTACTCGCTGATACCGAATACTAATACTGTTGCTTTCGCTGGCGTGGAGAAGGCTTCTCGGGTAATCAGGCTCCCTGTTGTTTGGCCTGCTTGATTGTGATTGGCCGGGAAGCCGGCTTCCCAGCCAATCAGCAGCGAGCTGGCTTCCCAGCCTATCAGGAAGCCGGGCGGCGAGTAATGACCTGATTGACCGGGAAGCTGGCTCGATGCCGATTGGCCAATCAGCAAGGAGCCGGCTTCCCGGGCCAATCAGGAAACCAGGAGACGTGTCATTACTGGCCGCACGGCTACCTGACTGCACGGGAAGCTGGCTCCAAGGTTCCCCTACGGCACTGCCGGTCAGAGGAAATTTTCCTCTGGCCGTAAGCTCCAGTATCGGGGAAGGTATTGGAGCATTTCGGTGAGTAAAAGTACTCGCCCAAATACTCTGTATCAGTGCATCCCTAATAAAAACGTATTTGATGGTACTAAATAGCGCTTCTCACTGGTCAACGCAGTCATCTGACCACGCTGACCAATGAGCGAAATTCAAAATGCATAGGGCAGGACTGTGCTGGATAGCAGTATGTGGTACAGATAATACACCCGTACTGGCGGTAAGTATAGCGGGGGACACGATCGCCGCTGCTTGTTGGATATATACGAGCGGCAGCTCCCCGCTGTACATTTAGCTCTGCTTGTCCGGAGCAGGGCTAAATGTACAAAAAAACTACTCGCCAGGTGCCCGAAACTGCATGTCCAGGGCGTCAAGCGATAGGAATTCCGCACCCGATTCATATAGGAAAAACCTAACATCATGGAGGATCAAATGAAGCCTATGCCACAATGCACATAATTAGAAATATCACATATAGACTAGAATGTAGCTTAATTGTGTATCACTCATCTGTAGGTCCTCAAAACATCTGACACTGTCCTTCCTTCTGGAGGGTGGCTACTTTTGTTCCCCATGGTCCTTGTGTGTGCTGTAAAGTAGTCACCGCTCCAAGCTCGCTACCGTGATGGACTACAATCTCAATACAAATGAGTAAACTGAATGTGAGATGGTAGTCCATCAGAGGAGTGAGCTTGGAGCAGTGGCTACTTTACAACACACATGGACCATGGGGAACAAAAGTATAGGGAAGTACAGGCTGCTGCGTCCAATCACATGCAACACCTGTCCTTCCCGGGAACAGCCCGATACGGTCGTGCACGCCGCATGGATCTGTACGGGCCAACTCTAAGCAGTGTGAATGTGACCTAAAGCTCTCCAGTCACATAACTCGCCCATCCTTACTATCGCCCATTCACAAAATGTATTGCATTATAAAAATGCACAACGTTTTGTGAATGGAGGATAGTGAAAAGGGGCGGGTGATGTGACCAGAGCACTGTAATGTTCGGGGCACATTTCTCCCTCCCTTCAGTGTCTGGAAGGTCAATTTTATGTACAGGAGACTGCATACTGTAATGTAAGATTTTTATACTTTGCAGCTGCTGTATTACATTAAATGCACATAAACTCTTATGGGAAGAAGGACTTACAACCTGCTAGAGAGGTGGTCTTTTTTATTTTATTTAAATAGTATTTGTTTTTTATAGTAATTTTTTAATAGTCTTTTTTTTATCTTCTGCAACAAAGTTGTGGCAAGGTTATGTTCACAATTCTTAGATTTCTTGCAATGAGCTGCATCACCTCGCTGCAGGGAATCCACCGCAGCTCCAATATCCATCAAAGGCAGTTGGTTTGGTTCACATAACTGTATATCAATGACATTTTTTTTGTTTTTGTTTGTTAGAAAATGCACTGTTCTGCATTTTGGTTCATTTTCTGCATATTTCACCACAGGAATTAATGAAAAATGCTAAAACCTGAATATAGTCAAGCCCAGTTTTTTTATCTTACATGTGACAGAAAACAAAGTGCTAGTGTGTTGTGGCAGCTCTGGCAGGGTCTTTTCTTTTTAAGTTTATGTAGCGTATACAATGTGTACACTAGATTCAGGTCCCCGTACAGCATCATTGTGCGCTTAACTGCCCTCTGGCGACCTCAGGTGGCATGCAGTCGCAGCACATCGCACTGTCCATCACATACGTGTTGTGGTGTGAATGGGACACATAGAAAACTAGTTTCTATGTGTCCTGCGTTGAACCCGTGCAATAAAACACGGGTAACAGCAATATGTGTGACCGGGCCCTTACCAATTAGTCAAGAATCTCAATACATAGTAAGTCCCATCGCACTCCTGACCGGAAAAAAACCCTCAGATATCGGGTGGGTGCTGAAGTGACTGCAGATGCCTCTGCAGATCAATGAATATATAATAGAAAGTCACTCTCACTCCAACTTAATTCTTAGTTGATGCTTTATTGACCATAGCTGTGTCACATTGTAAAGCGACGTTTCAGTCTCTTTTTCAGGCAAACAAAGCGTTTGTCTGAAGAAGGGACCACGCGGTTCAGAAACGTCGCTTTACAATGTGACACAGCTATGGTCAATAAAGCATCAACTAAGAATTAAGTTGGAGTGCAAACGACTTTCTATTATATATTCAGATTCAGAATCTGCCTCATCCTCCTGTTGCTAGATGGGTCCTTAAGGGTAAGGAATGCAATTTGAGGAGGGTGGGTTCATGAGTGTTGTGGAGAAGGAAATAAAAATGTCAGTGTATACATTGGGGGATTAGACTGAACCTCCCCCCAGCAGATGGGACAGCTATAACCATTATGATGATTCTGAAGATTTTGCGGGCACTGTAGAGGTGAATGTAAATCTGGCATTATACTCAAGACTTGTTTGCAAGCAAGGCTTCATGCTTGTTTAGGTTAACATGTTGTCACTGCCATTAAAATTACTAAAAAAAAAAAAAAGGACTGAAAATGAGCTTACAATCTAATGTCCTCCCCCCTGTCATATCAGTCTCTGTACAGAGGAGCTTACACTCGTGTCCCCACCCACAGTCACATTACCCGCTGGACGCAGGCTTCGTGACGCGCTGGACATGTGCACCGGAAAAAACATTGTTTCGTTTCAGCTTGTTTTGATTCGGATTTTGTGTTATTTTGTTTTTAGGGATTTGGACGAAATTCGTTAGCGGTAGTCGGTACGAATGTTCATTTCCGTTTCATGTTCGTATTGTTCGTTTCATTGCAGCAAAGTGACATAAAAAACATTTTTTTGTCACTTTGCTGCAATGAAAATTCGTCCACAAACGAAAATGTGTACAGACTACCGCTAACGAATTCCATCCGGAAAACTCATTTTTCCGAAACGAATCGCACATGTCTACTGGACGCAGGGCTTAGGGTTAGTTCACACCATAAGCAGTGCGCTCCGGTCCCATTGAAGTGAATGGCACCGTAGCCATGCCCTCCGGCTGCAATGCGATCACCCGCACGGGATCGCAAGGTACAGTGTGTCTGCAGTGCATTCAGGTGCGGTGCGATCAAAATAATGCTTGCAGCATTTTAATCGCACCGCACCCGAACGCACTGCAGGCACAATGTGCCTTGCGATCCTGTGCAGGCGATCGCATTGTGGCCT